CCTCCTCCACCTCCTCTTCGCCGTCCCCCTCGGCGTCGGCATTCACGTTGACGTTGGCGTTGCTGTCCGACACGCGACATTTCACTTTGCCCCCCTCACTGCCTCGACGACCAGAGGCCCTGGTCAGGCAGACTGGCAATTGTCGGACCGTCAAGTCGAGGGCGTTGAGCGCCGGCGTATTGTTGCCATGCGTCTTGCCGCGTTTACGCCGTCTCCTCTTCTCCGCCCGACCGCCAGTCGCCTCGGCAACCGGAAACGATGTAGTCTGACTGGGCTGCAAGAGTCTGGCCGGAGGACGTGTCGGTGGTCGAGCCCGTTTCTCGCTCGTCAGGCAGTCCATCTCATTCTCGCCCTCTTCGGCCGATTCGCCTGGGTCTGGTTTGTGACTGCGTTTGCGGTTGGTGATCAACTCGTCGATGATGAGACTCTCCGAGTCACCGTCGTCAATGGAGAAATTGACCAGCATTCTGATGCTGAGCCGCTTCTCGTGAGGAATGAGTCGGCACATGGAACCGATCAACCGACGACGCAACTCCTCTTGTCGTGGCTCTCTGACCGTCTTCAAACTCGGCCTCTCCACCACCTCACCGTCCTTCACCCCCTCTGGCAACTCGGTCAGTCCGACTCGGTTACCGCCGTCTCCGCGCCGTCCAGACCCACGACAGTCCAGGCGAGTACAGGCGGCTTGTGACACAGCCGCGCCGGTTGTTGGCCACGAATTGTCGAGACGGCTGTCCAATGAATCCAGACTCTTCACGGCCTGTCCAGTTGCCCTGGCAACTGACGCGCTTTGTAGTCTGATCGGTTGTCGTGGCAGTCTTGTCTTTGGCCCCGATTCATCATCTTCATCTTCCTCATCCTCCTCCTCTTCATCCTCCTCATTCTCCCCCACCTCCCCCTCCTCCTCCTCCTCCTTTTCCTCTTCCTCGTCCTCTCCCAATTCCATTTGTTCATTTGCCTTATGGCCATTCTCCTTCACGTCTTGTGACGACGACACATGTTTCCCATTCACACTAGCTTCTTCACCACCTCCGGCCCCCGTGCCGCTTTCACATGATTCGTCCGGCTCGGCAATTACTTTCACCTCTTTCTTGGCCACCCTCCTTCGGCCGTCCTCGTGATTCTCTGGCCCAGGATCGGCAGAATCTACACCCTCCTCTTCTCCAGCTCTGCCTCTCATCTTCGCCTTCGCCATCTCTTCTGCCGACTTCCCAGCCGGCTTCAAATCAGGGACCTGATTTTGTCCACTTTCCTCTACTTTGTCGTCCCCACCACCACCGCCACCGCCAGCCGCACAGCCAGAAGCCGGGCCACACACAGACGCAGACGCAGACGCAGACCCGGGCCCACATCCGGAGGGGCATTGAGACTCGGTAGGCATGGCAACAGCAGTAGCCGCAACCGCTGCTCCAGGCGGACATCGGAGGCTGTTCATCTTCACTTTAACTGCGCCACCGTTTGCTCGGCTTACAGTCGACTCGGCCATCCACGTCGGCGAGGTGACTCTGTTTACCGAGCGCATCAGCATCGCCTGCGAGTCAGACGCCCGGAGGCGCCGGGAGGGAGATGAGGTGACCCTGTATGTGGGGGGGCGCGTGAATACCGGACCCACCGGCCGCCAGGATGGAAAATGAACGAGTTCGACGGCGGGAAGTTGAAGGATGAATTAGTCGAATTTGTCTACCGGAGCCGGAGTCTGCAGCACCACTTGTCAGAAACAAGAGTCATGTTAAAAAAGGCGTCTGTTATATTTCGTTTATGATTGTTGATGAAGCAAAGTTAGATTTGCTGTA